AGAAAAATATTATCTCTACATGAGAGGATGATCTTGTGGCTAAATCACTGGACTTGGCATGCTCTGTCATGAGTTTTCTTAGTGAACTAGGGAAGAAGTGTAACTTTTCTAAAATTCTCAGTTGTAGAATGTCAGGGGGGAGGGGGGAATAATGCTGCTCCTCTCCCATCCTTTGTTTATGATTAGATTATGCAAGGGACCTAGTTAGGTTCCTGACTTAGATGAAGCTCCATACAGGTGTAGGAATCCTGTCCAAGGATTAGTGTCCAAGCTGGGGCTTTATGTTAGTCAGCTGGAGTAAGGAATGGCTCTGACTATGTTTTTCGATAACATATAGCACAATGAAGCCTTCATCTTGGTAGAGGTTCCGGGGAGGAATACAATTGTATTGTTCCTATAATACAATTGATAATAGAGTGCACATTTTTGCATGAGATATAAAGAATTTTCTGAAGTGATATTGCCCTAAGTTTTATTATGCTGGAGTTGCCCATGCACTTTCATAAATGAATATAATTTTACAACTCAGCTTCAACAAAGAATTATGGGTGATGCTTAGAATTGAAATTCAAGAGTTGCAGTTTGTTTAGACACAGTGGATCAAATACTGTTGTTTTTGTTTTTTGTCTCTGTAGTATAAATCTTTAACCAGTATTTTGGCCTACCCTCTTAATAAAATCATTAATTTATTAAAATATTTCTATAATAATACATTATAGCCTTCTATAATAATACATAATTCTATATTACATAATTACCTTCACTAAGTTTTAAAATTTGTGCTATAGTATTTGATTATTGTTCTATTTTTATCATAAAGTCTGAAACTGTATCTAAATTAAATATGGAATCTTATGTGTAACAGATTTATTATGAAGAGGGAAGCCAGGGAATAAACTGTATTTAATGTTTGCGGTGTCACAAATTGTACGGCACTTTCTAGTTCTTATGTTCCAGCAATATGTGATATGAGCTTCAGCTTCCTTTACTGCAAAGCAGGAAACCGAAAAAGGAAGGGTGAAGCACTTCATTCTCTGGCAAGAGAAAAAAACAACAATACTTGTTTGTTTAAATCTATACCTGCTGCCATCCTGGATAACAGCATTCATTAAACAAGGCTGCTGAGCATACTTCAGGTCTGAGGCAAGGCTCTATGAAAGGTGTCACCAGCTGAAAGCACACTTAGGACTGTATGGATTGTGGATCAGCAGTTCATAACAGACCTGGGTATTATAGACTTAAAAGTAGCAGGGCAGCTTTGCAACATGGTGTAGTAGAAATGGACATGTAGACAACTGGCTAGAGAAGTAGTGTCAATAACAGGCTTCATAGACAGATATCCAGAGCGTATCAAGGAATAA